TTATATGTTAAATATGAAGTTATAACTAACTTTAAAATTTTGTTATATCTCTTAATTAATAATTTATTTAAAATAATTGATTAATAATTATAAATTTTTATTATGAAAATTTAATTAATTTTGTAACAATGGTTCCCACGAGTTATAAACTAGTCTCTCTATTCTAATAAAAGAATAGATTTATTCTTCTTTTGCCATATATTATCCTATTAGGTTACCTAATTAATGTCATATTATTTGTCAACCTATTGATTCTCTATTTCAAATTTTAAATTTTAAATTTTTCGCTTTAATTACATTAAATTAATAACATTATAATAAAAAATTAAAATAACATTAATAAAAATTATAATATCACGTATTTATTTAAATCAATGATTATAATTTTATATATAACTAAAAACTTATCTCTTAATTAACAGTTTATTTAAATTAATTTATTAATAATTTTGATTTTTTTACTATGAAAATTTAATTAATTTTATAATCGTGGTTCTCACGGGTTATAAATTAGTATTTTAATAAACAAAACTTAATCATGACACACGTCGCTTTTCTAGATTCATTTTTGACACGTGTCACCTTTATTAAACTTCTCATTTTATTTCCGGTTAAGATTAAACGCAATCCCATATTATTGCTTCTAGATTTGAAATGGCATTCAAATTGTAAAAATAAATCCTATAATTTTGAATTCTTTCTTATTTAATAAAGTCAATATGTTTTTAATTATGTAATTTTTAATGTATCCTAAAATCAAAAATAGATTATTCAACTTACCTTTATAAATATAATCCTTCTATATTTTATAATTTGTTTGTTAATAATGAATTATGTATCTTTTTCTACCAAGTGTATAATTAAATAATTTTTTATCGATTTGTTGCTACCTATGGTTTTTCACGAGTTATAACCTAATTACTCTAAACAAACACTAAATATCTTTATATTCGCTTGAGTAGAAACGAATAACCAAATCAAAATATATAGAAGTGTAAACAAATATCATATTGCTTATAAGGAGATGCAAAACCACAAAATTTTAAATCAAAAAAGGTTGGTGCTTAAAAAGCAAAAACTTACAAGCCTGGGTTCCACTTTGAAAATTGAGTCTTGAGGTAACATAAGCTAAGTAGTTATCATGGAATTAAACCAAAACTAAAGACAATTTTAATTTTTTTGCCACTACAAAGAAAATGAGATCGAGCACTTCAAGTAATTGGAACGCAAAAATACTTGGTCAAAGAAGTAATGGTCAATGCCTACTTCAGAATACAATGTAATCAGCAAAAAGTGCTTGAAAGTACGTACAACAAAATAAGCATATGGTACAACATATTACAACAACATAAGAGATACCTATTTCTTGGAAAATATATAAGTCCTGAAATTAATAAGTGTGGATAAACAATGCTTAAAATAAGTTTTCCTTCAACAATAGCTGCTAAAAGGGAGTTTTATTACTTTGAATTTTAGTCAACACATGCTTCATCATTTTTCAGAAATTTTGATGTTTTAGTTGACTTTTGGTCAAAATCAATGGTATTTCAATTTTCCATCCTTCTCCAAATCAACGCATCATTTAATTTATTTTTATCGGTTTGTGAAACAATTAAGTTTTTTTTTTCAAAATGAATTCATCACGCCATGGAATATATTTTAAAGAAATTAATTCCTATTCAGCAAAACCCTCATTGGAAAATTATATGGTATTCAAACCAATGAGTAACTATAGTAAGAAAAATATAATTTAAGAAAAAGATAATGATGGATGCATGGATGATTCAGTCAAATATTCATTATAGAAACTAGCGGAAAAACCCGGGCTTCGTCCCAGGCCGTTTTTTGTGTTTTTTATGAAAAAATATAAAAGTTTTGACTGTAAGGACCAAAAGTATCAAAATGGCTAAAGAATTAAATGAGTTTGAATTAGCAAGTTTTTAGAAAATTGACCAAAGTTGTCAATTCCTTAAAGTTTTGTAGCCAAAATCTGAATATTAAAAGGTTCCTAAAAAATGTAAAAATTTTGATTCCAATGACCAAAAATGTCAAAATCAAAAGTGTCAAAATGGCTAAATAATTAAAGGGGTTGGAATTAGCAAGTTTTTAGAACAGGGACCAAAGTCGTCAATTTCTTAAAGTTTTGTGGCCAAACTTTGAATATTAAAAGGTTCCTAAAAATGAAAAATTTTTGATTCCAATGACCAAAAGTGTCAAAATGGGTAAAAAAGAAGGGGCAAAGTTGACAAAAAAAAAAGACAAATTTACTATAAGGGGTTCGAATTAGCAAGTTTTTGGAAAAGGTACCAAAGTTGTTAATTCCTTAAAGCTTTGTGGCCAAACTTTAAATATTAAAAGGAAACCAAAAGTGTAAAAATGGGTAAAAAGAAGGACCAATTATGTCAAACTCTTAGGAACTTTACTGTTCCTAAGGGAACATAATATATATATATATATATATATATATATATATATATATATATATATATATATATATATATATATATACTTATGACTTATAATTCTCTTAAAATATTGTTGTTATGTTAGATTTCTTACTATGTACTGGTAAAATAAAATATATGTTGTCTAAATTCTAAATCTCGTATTCCAAGGGTTTAAATTTTTACCGTCTTCCATGTCGAGGAAAAGACTAAATAATAAAGAAGAATGGAATGTGAAACCAGAAACCATCAATAGGTAATAAAGGAAGAATTTTGGATGTATTTTTCTTCTCAATGTTAGGTCTTATGCAAGTCACTCAAGTTAGATGACATTCATTTGGAGGTCGTCTAGGTTTCTTCCTTTGTTAGTTGAATAAGACCTAACACAATTTGTTAATTCGGATTTTCATATTTGAAAACTTCAAATTGTGAATTATTGGGTATAATAAAATGATTACATCTTTTCGAACTTTGATTAAAGTAACAATAAATATATATATATATATATATATATATATATATATATATATATATATATATATATATATATATGTTGGTTCTCTTCAGATTAATAAAAAATTTGAGATTGTGAGATAGGTGGATAACCCTTTGATGTTATGATCTTTATTTATAAAATACGGCGGTGGCATAATTGTAAATATATTGGTAACTTTTCAAATTAACGTCGTTAGTAACCATTGTAGAGCTAGTATTGTAATTTTGCAAAGAATCATTTCAGTTTTGCAGAGGCTGCGATACTGTAACCTTCTATACTCTTGTTTTGTTTTTCGATCAAAATCTCACTTAGAAACTCTCACGGAAACCCTTTTTTTCTTTCTTTATCGCATTTTGCCCTAGTTTTCGTTTGTTAGTTGTGCAAATTATGTTTGGAAAATCAGTAAATGTCTTCAGGAGAAAATATAAACGAAGTCGCATCTTCGTTAATCCGAATGAAAGGTTAGAATGCGAGTAATTTTTCATTTTATTGATAATGCATGTTTGTTTTAATTAGTTAACTTTAGTTTTATGTTGATAATGATGATTTTTGTTTTGATTCAGTAGTTTTTTCGTCATTTTTACTTGATTTTGATGTTTTTCTCGTTTACAGTTCATCTGTTTTTTATTATATTTGTTTGTTGTGGTTTTCGATGTAAGTAGTTGTTTATATTCTTATAGATAAGGATTTCAAAGAAACTATGTTCGAAAAAAGTTCAAAAATCAAAAAAATCTCGAAGGCGGTAGAAGTGTTGTTATTTCGGAAGGCACAGTTCAAATAATCGACGTTCAAAGACGTTTCTGTGATACTTTTTGTCTCATTTTCTTCTATAATTTTTTTATTCATAATTGATTATCATATTTTGTGATTATGTATTTCTATGTATCAAACGTGAATATGAAGATTTTCTAGAGAAGTTAAAGATAAAATTTCAAAGAGAAGAAATGTTAAAGGTATTTGTTGTAATCATAACTGATTTTGTGATTTTTTCAGTGGATTGAACATTATTTCTAGTTCTAATTATAAATGATTTTATACGTTTGTTTATAATCATTAGTAAATAGTAATGATAAATGTATGTTTTTATAATCATTATTGATTGTGTGATTTAAAATCATAGTTTATTTTTTATTCATAATTGATTATCATATTTTGTGATTATGTATTTCTATTTATCAAACGTGAATATGAAGATCTTTCTGGAGAAGTTAAATAGAAATTTTCAAAGAGAAAAAATGTTAAAGGTATTTGTTGTAATCATAACTGATTTTTGTGATTTTTTCAGTGGGTTGAACATAACATTTAGTTGTATGTTTTTTTCTAGTTCTAATCATAAATGATTTTATATGTTTGTTTCTAATCATTAGTAAATAATAATGATAAATGTATGTTTGTATAATCATTAATGATTGTGTGATTTAAAATCATAGTTTACTAGTTATATGCATTTTTGTTCTGTATTAATTATTAATTATGTTAATTTTTTTTGTAGTAAATGCTTCTGTTTATGAGAAGGAAAGCGAAGATATTTTAGAGAAAAATTTCAAGGTTAAATATGATAAAGTTATGTTTTTGCAATCACAGGTGATTATGTTTCTTCATTTGTAACTGATTTTATGTATTATGTTTTCTTTTTTACTAACACTATTTTTTCTAATAAAAATTGTAGTTAAAAAAGGTAATTTAGAGAGCTTAAGACAGACACGATCATCTTCCAAAAAATAAAAGGCCAAGGAGGTGGTGCAAACACGGTCAAAGAAATCCAAAAACAGTTATTGAACAACCAAAAGTGAACCTAACTGCTAAGGGAAAGAAATTAGTTTTTGAGAAGGTCAAAACTGTAAGCAAGAAACGTGAACTATCTGATGAAGATGATTCTGATTTTCAGAGTCTTCCTGGATGTTCAAAGAAACCAAAGAGAGAAGCTAAAGGTTTGAAGAAAGATAAAAAAAGATGTTGTTATAAAAGAATTTTCTTCATTGAAGAACAAATGTTCACCCGGGTCATTGTTGGGTGTTATTCAAGGTTTAAGTAGAGAATAGAAGGATTGTGTTAGGGCTATGGGATTTGGGAGTTTGTTACAGATGAAGATGATTGACAAACCGTTAAAGATTGTTTATTATGTTCTTGGTCATTTTAATTTTGAAACTTTGAAGGTGGAGTTTGAGAATTGTCAACTTAGTGTTGATAGTAAATCTGTTCATGAGATGTTAGGATTACCATCTGGTGGCTCATTACTTTCAAACATGGATTACATTTCCGAGAATAATGAAGAGATTGTATGTTTGAGTGGAAGAAATAGTATGGAAATATTTGATAAATTGAGATCGAAACAGCTAAAGAATGAACTTGTTTGAACTAGTGCAGCGGATGATAACTTTAGAATCAATTTTTTGGTTCTTTTTATTAATACATTATGTAAGTCTACAAGCATGGGTAGATGTGATTTGAATCCATTGTGTTTAATCAGAAGAGATACAGATTTAAGTAGCATTGACTGGTACGATTTCATTGTCGATTGTTTGGTTAGGACGAAGAAGGTTTACAACTCAAAGAAAGAATCTTCTTTCTATTATGGACCAGCAGCATACCTTATGGTACGTGAGCTAATTTTTAATATTAAATCTTCTTTTTAGTTGTCAAAATATGTTTGTTTTTATTTTTAAGCGTATATGATTGTATAATCATATATGATTAATTATATATCACACAGCATAATCGCATAAGATTATTCATATATATTATGATTAATGATATATTTGATTTGTATAAATCATATATGATTGTATAATCATATATGATTATTTAGTCTAATTTTTGTTTAATTATATATTACACATCATAATCATATATGATTATTCATATATATTACGATTAATTATATATCACACAGCATAATCATATATGATTATTCATATATATTTTGATTAATGATATATTTGATTTGTATAAATCATATATGATTGTATAATCATATATGATTATATAGTATAATTTTTGTTTAATTATATATTACACATTATAATCATATATGATTATTCATATATATTATGATTAATGATATATTAAACTATATAAGTAAATATTTTTAGAAAGTTAACTTATTTGTTATATATGTTTTTTGTAGTTGTAGTATGTTGATAGTTTCAAGTTTGATCATTTGCAAGTCACACGTAAACGTCCAATTATTTTTTATTGGACGTCAGAGAAGATAAGGTTTCTTGAAGAAGAATGTCAAGAATCTGAGTATAATGAGGAGGAATCTGGTGGTGATGAGGATGAATATGATGGTGATGAGGATTTATGTGATGAGGATGAAGAAGAGTTTGATGTTAATAAGGTTAGTGTTGTGGAGGTAATTTTATAGTATTATTCATTTATTATTTTATTAGTGTATTTATTTATGACTTTTTATGATTAAGTAGTTTTTTTTAAGTATATTTTTTCTTATGTAGGTGTATGAAAATAAAATTTCATATATGTATCAGAAGATGGAGGATTTGAAAAAGGATCTTGTTGTAAAGATAGATGAGGGAGTGTTGAAGTTTCCTCAAAGTCAAAATTTGAAAAATTGGAAATTATTATTTCCTGTTGAAGATTTAAGCACAAAAAGTTTTGATTTCCATTATGTTTCACAACAAAATAAAGAACCGATATTGACACCTGCTTTTGTTCAAGTTAATGATGATGAAAAAATCACAGAAGTAAATCATGATGAAGATTATGGGAGTGATTTTCTGAATGATCATGAAAATGTTGAAGATGATGATCAAGGGAAATGTTGTGGTGCTTAGGGGGATGGGAGTTGTCCATATGAGGGCAATATTGGTAAAAATGATGTTGAAGGTAATGGTGATGTTAATGATCATGCATATGAGGATGATATTGGTAAAAATAATGATTTTTTGAATGAGAAAGATGATGAACAACAAAATGGAAGTGGATTCAATGAAGAAGAGGCCATAAGTTTAAATTTTGTTGTTGAAAATGTTAGTAAGAGTGTTAGTCTAATTGATAGCTAGGAAGGTGTATCTTTTAGTCAATTTATGTGCGATCCAGTTGTTGAAAGTTTTCTTAAAATTTTGGATCAAGGTAAGCATATGTTTGTATTATATATAGTTTAATCATATATGATTTTAATTTTTTATATTTGAATTTTATAGGTACCGAAAACTTGGTTGATGGTTGTATAAATCAGAAACAAGTTGAAGATGATGTTAATGACAATTTGACTGGTTTTGAGAAAAATGAATTTGATGATGGTAAGTATTTATTTATGTATTTTTTATACATAAACTATATATGAATATGTTATATAGTTGATTCACTTATGATTTTAATTATTTAGGGATTGTAAATTTGGGTGAGGAAGATCATAAGAAAGAAGTAATTTCAGATCATACTGTTGATAAAGTTATTGTAGAAAAGAAGAAAGAAGATGAATTAATTCATCCAAGTTTATTGAAAGGTTTTGCTGAAGTGTTAGTTGAACTTTCTAAAGCAAAGAAGGATGGAGAAGGTGTGGTAGAAAGTGAAGGTGTTGAAGTTCATTCGGATTTAGGGAAAGCAATAGAAGATTGTTCAAATAAAAATAAAGATGGAGGTAATTAGTTTATAATTATTTTTTATTCATATATGATTGTGTTTATAATTGTTGTTTATTCATATATGATTTTTATAATTTTTTTGGTAGAAACTGCTAAAGAAGGTTTACAAATTATACAATGGAAGGATTCAAACGAGACTCAATCACTGAAAAAGGACAATGCAGAAGTGAAAGTTGAGAAGTTTTCTTGTCCAAGTTTTAGTCTTGGATTTAATCAAGATTCTCAAGGTTCCAATAAGGCATCTCAAAGTCAAAGTTCTACTGAACGGATGACTAAGAAAAAGATTAAGGATAAAGTTTATTTGGGAAAAAACATTTGGTGGGCCAAAGTGTGTTGTTCAAGTGTTGATGTTATTGATGCTAGTCTAGTTTCTTTTGCACCACTTTTGGGTACATTATAAGGACCATCAAAACCAATTTCCAACCATACTAGAGTGATAAATGAAAAAAGTCCATCAAAAGCAAAGTCTGGCAAACCTAAAGATATAAATAAAGAAGGAACATCTGAACTAGATGTCAAAGGAAATAGAGAAATGAAGTTTTCTTATGTTTATAAGTCACCTTTTAAGGAAAGGTTAATTGATTTTAAACCAAGTTTGACACATGTAGAAAATGTTGTTTGTGAATGGCTTTTCAGTCTTCAAGGAAATCCAGGGTAATTTTTTTAAATATAATTTTTTATTTTTATAATTATAATTTTTTATTTTTAATAACATTTAAATAAATATCTACAGTGATATGGTCTTGCTTATGGAATCAGATCTTATGGGTTTTAGAGCTAATTATGAAAGTCTTTATAAAAAAAACTTGTTTGCATGTAAGTGTTCTTGATTCGTGGTCTCGTATACTAAATCATGAAGAGAAATTCAGAGATGTTGTTAATTCTCCACTCAGATTGTTCATGAATGTTGATACTGTAAGATTTTATTTTTTGTTTTTCTTTTCATATTTTGATAATCATTAATAATTTTTTATTAAATATTTACATTTTATTATATAATCATTTCTAATTTTTTTTTATATTACAGACTTTGTCATTTGAATGTAATCATTTGAAGGAAACTGGAAAATATAAAATTTTCAAGGACAACTTCTCTCTTAGTGTTTCTGGTGATAGAGACTTGAAGGTTTTGATGGATGTTGATATGGTGTATATATATATATATATATATATATATATATATATATATATATATATATATATATTAATGTTTTCTTTCTAATATTATACATGTTGATGTTAGGTATTTTTCCCTGTTTTGAGGCAAAAACACATATATCTTATTGTTATCAATCTGAAGAAACCTGCTTTTGAGGTTATTGATAATGGTGCAGATGATGCTGATTTCGATGATAAGTATGGTCCGGTTTTTAAACCTCTTGTAAGATTCAAATCATATTTAATCTTTAGATTTGAAATCATATACGATATGTTTTATAATTATTATACTTATATTTTTTTGAGTTCAAATCATATATGATTTTCAGAAAACGTTTTTTTTTAAGTATCTAAAAGAGATTAATCATGTTAAAGCAAATGAAATGACTAATAAAAATCTTACACCAGTAAGATTGATAATGCCATGGAGGACAGTTTACAACAAAGTGGATTGTGGTGTTTTTGCTATGAGACATATGGAGAGTTATTTTGGAGAAAAATATTCTAAATGGAAATGTGGTCTTCCAAAAGAAGGTCATGCTCAAGAAAAAATTCTTGAGAAGTTGAGAATGAAATATGCATCATCAATTTTAACTTATGAGATTAATATGAAGCGTGATGATGTGTTGAAAGTTGCGTATAAGTATCAAAATGTTGATCCAAAGATTTGTTGTAAGCATTCATATCATGATCAATAGAATATAGAAACAAGGCTGTCAAATTTTTTTTGATTGAAGATTTTAGAAGTAATGGATGATGTTTTAATAACAAGTTTGTTTATGTTGGTTTATGTTGTCTTTATGTTATGGATATTTGGAAGAATGTTTGTTTTTATGGTGATGGAAAACAAATTTATAAGTAGCTTGATGGATTTTATTATGTAAATTTGTTACTATGAATTATGTTATTGAATGTTAATCATAATTGATTATGTTATATTTTTATACATATATTAATGTTTTTAGTACCGATTATATGTTGTTTATATGTAATCATTAGTGATTGTATCAATTAATTTTTTCTTTGTTTTTGTAATCATAAATGATTACATATGTTGAACAACACATTATTATTTATTATATTTTTTCTTGATAATTGAGCTTATCTTGAGTGCATTGAATACATCACCATGCAAAATCTTATATTTTTTAGATTTTATTTTTGTTTTGTAGTGTTTGTAGTGAAGAATCTTGACTTTATAAATCAAAACAAATTAGGTTTTTGATTGAGTTGTGAATCTGTTTTTATCAAGGGGTAGCCTCGTGCTACCTCTTAGATATGAGTGGTTATACTTCTCCAATGATTACTTTTTTATATTAATTTTTCACTTTTAATTTAATTTTTTTATATATTACCATTACTTATTTATGATGTAAACAACTTCCTTTTCATTTCAGGTAAATTATGGACTCTATAAGTCAAAAAGAACTAATTTTGATATATCTAATAACATGTTCCCCATTTTTTGAAGATTCTTGTTCTTATATTTGTAGCTAGATTTTCATAGATATTATAGCTGACTCTGAGAACGCCACTTCCTCGATTACTTAAAAAGTTTATCTTCATTGAACATATCAGATCTTTACTAGATGTCTTTGAAGTAGAGGAATGTTGTTCATTTAAAGAAGATTTCTTTTTAATGAACAACATTTCTTTACATCAGATATGTAGTAAAGATTTTGTATTTTCAATGGAGATAATATTTCTAAGTATGGTGGAAGTGTTCTTGGAGTGAACTACAATCTGTATGAAAATCTAGCTATGAAAACAAAGAACAAGAATCTTGGAAATGGGAAACGTGATATTTGAGGCTTGTGAAACTATTTGTTATTGAAGATTTTATCATGTTTAAAGTTATTCTATGATGGATTATTAGAAGTTGCTTTTCTAGATGAATATGGTTATGTTTATATTTTTTATGAACAGTGTTGTTGTATATTTGTTATGAACAATATTGTTGTATATGGTTATATGTAATGAGATTTATAGTAGAACTTAGATGTTATTTATATGTAATCATAAATGATTAGATGTATTGACTAACAGTTTATACGTAATATAAATGATTATATGTATTGAATAACAGTTAACAAATTACTTAATTATTTATATTTGTATAATCATAAATGATTATGTAATACCACTTCATATGTTTTGTTTAGTCATAAGTGATTATATACTTTTGTAATCATAAAATACATAAACTTAGATAGAAGAAGGTTCAAGATAGAAAAATTTCAAGAAAACTGATTTGTTGTACTACTAATAGAATCAAAGAAATAATTATCAAAGTAGATAGAATTCAGTAAACAAAATCATAGTAAAAGAGTAGAATGCATCAAACAAAAAGTATATTATTTAGAAAAAAAAATCCTGACTTATTCATTACTGATTAAACTAGTAATTATCTATATAGCTTTTGATGATTGTTCTGCTGTAAGTTTGATTGGGCATATACGCAAGTTATGAAGAGCCCTTTGTCCACATCCTGAGCATCTTCTTGTTTGCTTGTTTGATTTTTTATATGCTATTTTTGTTGCACTTTGAATTCTATATTTCTTTCCACTTCCTTTATTGCTTTGAACATTTGGAACATTGATGTCGATGTCTTTTGGAATAGAAATGCCCATAAGCTTTCCTACCTTTTCAACACCTGTCCTACTTTTCTGCAATTCATTTGTAGGATCATTCGCGTATTCCTTCAGCATGCTTTCTGTTTTCTTAACAAACAAATCCATTTTGTCTTTATTTTTTCTTACGTATTCCAAACATGCTTCAAAGTTGTATTATGCTTGATTAACAGATCTGTTAATTTCAATGTCTCATGTATCATATACATGCCTACTAAAGTGATAATGCATTGATATCTCATCCTTTCTCCAACGATTCTCAATGTACTGTTCATGTATTTCCTTAATTCCATGTTTCATGAGTATGTTGAATGCATGTCTGCACAAAGTCCCAAAGCGGTTGAAGTGTTCACAAGTACATTTTACATCATTTACTGGAAGTTTTATTTCTACCGGTTCAAAATAAAATTAAAGCATTAAGTGTTTTTTCTATTGAATTAAATATAGTTGTATATATTGTTTTATAATCATAACTGAATATAGTTGTATATTACGTTTTGATTCATCAAAATTTAAAATAATAATATATTACCTCAAATTCTGTTTTTAGATCGTTGTTTTTGTTCAGTTGTTCCACATTGTATAACCCCCATCCGTTTTTTGTTCCAAAATGTTTGTAATGGCAGTACCAGAAACCTTTGTAGATTTCTTTCTGTACTTCATAAAACAATGTGCTTGTATAAACTTTTGCAGCATGTTTTTCTATCGGTCGCGGTGAAATAAATATATATACCGCCTTCTTTGTTTCATGATCAAGCTCCTTTTGTGTATTTCTTTGTTTTTGAATTGCAATGTCATAGTTCATCATGAAATGTAAAAGTAAATTTCCAGATTGCGAGTAAGTGTTGAAGAAGGAATTCATGCTTTCTGATCTTGAAATGGTTTTCATCAATCCAGACATTCTAGTGTCACTGAAGTATGCATGTATCCATTTGTCACGTAATTCAAACATATCATTGAACCATCTTTTATCTTCCAGATTGAATTCATTAATAATCAACTCCCACTTCTTCTCAAATTCTTCAGGTTTGATATGCATGTTCCAAACAAGCTTGTTAAATCTCTTCTTGAAGTCCTTGTTTTTAAATAAATCGTCAGTAACCTATGAATGAACAATTTTACTTATATAATTATAAATTATATACTTATTTGGATATATCATATATGATTAATCATATATGATTATGTATGTAATGTATGATTAATCATATATGATTATACAATATTATATTTGATAATTCATATTTTTAGAATACTTAATCATATATGATTAATCATATATCATATATGATTAATCGTATATGATTATAAAGTATGATATCTGATAATTCATATTATTAGAATACTTAATCATTTATGATTACATAGTTTTCTTGTAAATCATATATGATTTATATTATAGTTTTATTTTTATTATACATTTTCTTGTAGTTTTTTCATTATGTGCCACATGCATAATCTGTGTCTTGAATTTGTTAAGACAGATTCCACTGCTTGTTTTATTGATGGATCTTGATCAGTTAGAACAATTTTTGGTGCTTTCCCATGATCTCTAAGAAAAGCTTTAAGTAGCAATTCATAGGACTCAATTATCTCTCTACTCAGCAACCCA